GCGGGCGAGTCTGGGCGCGAGCGAGTCTGAGCGTGAATGACTTCGCGTGCGAGTGCGCATATTTGCATGAATGCGAAAGTGGCCACGCCTGGTGTATATACATATATATATGTACGAATTTGAATGGTTCACGTATGCCTGACCCTGAGTACTCGCGACACTGAGCGTGGCCGCCGCAGGAAGCTCCCCTTGGAACCCCGACAGCGGCGCCCGCACGCCTCACGAGGATCGCGCCCGCTTCCTTCCCGTTCTTTCTCTCTCTCTCTCTCTCTCTCTCTCTCTCTCTCTCTCTCTCTCTCTCTCTCTCTCTCTCTCTCTCTCTCTTTGCCCGCGCACGCCCATGTCCAAGGCTGCGGGCGCGGCGCCGCGCGGAGTCCCCGCGACGCGCGTCGGTCGCCACGGAAGGGTCCCGGCGACGCGCGCGGGTCGCCCGCTGCGCGGAGCACTGAGAGCTAGCTGGCTGGCTGATAGCGGGCAAGGCTGCGGCCGCTGGACAGAGCGACGACGGGGGCGAGCGGGGCTCTGGGCAAACCGCAGCGCGGCGTTCTCGCGACGCGCGCCGGGCGCCCCGAGAAGGTCCCAGCGACGCGCGCGGGTCGCCCGCGGCGCGAGGCCAAACAGTCAGACCGTCGAGAGACGGCGAGCCTCGGGCGGGCCGCTCCTCAGGTCAAGCCTTGCGGATAAACTCGGTGAAGCTCAGCTCCCTGGCGAGGGTCGCCGCCTCCCTCCTGCACCGCTTCGTGCGCATGGCAAACTGCTCCAGCTGCTTCCGCAAGCCCTCTGGCGGCCCTGCCAGGAAGAACTCGATGCGCGGCGCCCACATGAGCAGGAGGTCCTCGTAGCGCGTGGCGCGCGAAAGCAGCACGTAGAGCTCCAGCCACCACAGTCGTCGTCCCCCTTCTGCCGTTCCCCACCTCGTGGTGGCCGCAGTCCAGGATCACGCCTGAGCGATGCCGGCCGAGGGAGCAGCGCGCCGGACAGCCAAAATGCAGCGGCGGCGCCATGCGAACTGCGCCACTGCGACCTTCGGTGGAACCCCCTGTGGGGCCACCAAACGTGTGAGGAACGTGCCAAAATGTAGAGGCGGCGCCATGCGAACTGCGCCACTGGGACCTTCGGCGGAGCTCCCCGTGGGGCCACGAAACGGATGAGAGGTGTGCCAAAATGGGGCGGCGGCGCCATGTGAACTGCGCCACTGCGACCTTAGGTGGAGCTCCCTGTGGGGCCACGAAACGTGTGAAGGATGTCCCAAAATGGGGCGGCGCCGCCATGCGAACTGCGCCACTGCGACCTTCGGTGAAGCTCCCTGTGGGGCCACGAAACGTCAAAAGGGTGTGCCCACATGTGGCGGCGGCGCCATGCGAAGTGCGCCGCTGGGACCTTAGGTGGAGCTCCCTGTGGGGCCACGAAACGTGTGAGGGATATGCCCGAATGGGGCGGCGCCGCCATGCGAACTGCGCCACTGCGACCTTCGGTGAAGCTCCCTGTGGGGCCACGAAACGTCAAAAGGGTGTGCCCACATGGGGCGGCGACGCCATGCGAACTGCGCCACTGAGACCTTAGGTGGAGCTCCCTGTGGGACCACGAAACGTGTGAGGGGTGTGCCCAAATGGGGCGGCGCCGCCATGCGAACTGCGCCATTGCGACCGTAGGTGGAGCTCCCTATGGGGCCACGAAACGTCAGAGGGGTGTGCCCAAATGGGGCGGCGGCGCCATACGAACTGCGCCACTGGGACCTTAGGTGGGGCTCCCCAAGGGGCCGCGAAACGTGTGAGGGGTGTACCGAACAGAGACATTATGAAGGCAGGGGCAAGGACTGGGAGAAGGGAGGAGGGGGAGGCGGATGATGATGATGATGATGATGATGATGATGATGATGATGATGATGATGATGATGATGATGATGATGATGATGATGATGATGATGATGATGATGATGATGATGATGATGATGATGATGATGATAATGATGATGATGATGATGATGATGATGATGATGATGATGATGATGATGATGATGATGATGATGATGATGATGATGATGATGATGATGATGATGATGATGATGATGATGTGATGCTGATGTGATGCTGATGATGCTGATGATGTGATGCTGATGCTGATGCGATGCTGATGCTGATGCTGTGATGGTGATGGTGATGGTGATGGTGATGGTGATGGTGATGGTGATGGTGATGGTGATGGTGATGGTGATGGTGATGGTGATGGTGATGGTGGATGATGATGATGATGATGATGGATGATGATGAGAGGAGGAGGAGGAGGAGGAGGAGGAGGAGGATGGTGGGAGGAGGGAGGAGGGGAAGGAGGGCGGGAAGGAGGAAGGAACGCGGAGCGCCGTCTCTTCAAAACGAGGACCCAACACCACAGGATGGTTCGGAAAAACCAGAGGCCCAGACGGCCCGCGCGCTGCCTCCTGATGCCCGCCGTCGGCATCGATGCCCGTCCCTTCGAGCAGGGGATCGACGGCAGAACTGACGCACCCCAAGACTAACTTCCTCGTCGAGCCATACGTAGGACGTGCGTAGATCTGCGAACATTCTATGGATTCGACGAACCAATGAATGGTGGGGTAAAACAATTCTAATTCCGTACAGTGGAGGCCAGTCCACAAGAAAGCTTCACGAGAAACCCAACCCTGAGACCCCGGGGCGTCCATGGATTTGTTTTCGAATGGGAACTTCACGCCTTCCATGGCCAAGCCATCGAAGCCCGAGAAATCCCCAGGGCACCCTGGAGGCGAGCAGGGTGCCGCTTGGCATGGGCCTCCGCTGCCGTCGAGCCCCTGCCCGATCCTTGTCCCCCCCCGTCGCCTCTCGCGGCGCGCAGCCTCCGAGCCCTCCCGCTGGCGGCCCGCCGGGAAGGCCGCGCTGCCGTGTGCCGAGAGCAGACTTCTCCCCCTCCAGTAGGATTAAGTCGGGCCTGTCCCCCTATAGGTGGATTCTTTACGAATTGTTTCAAACAAAAATCCAAATAATCCAAAAATAATATGGGGACTATTTTTTATTATTTTTTGTCCTTTTTGGTGCATTTTGGGGGTATCTTTTATTTTTCGTCGAAAATCCCCCTGTAGGGGGACAGGCCCGACTTAACAGTAGGAGCTCGACCACAGTAGAATAGGAAGAAACAAAAACATAAACATCAACTTTTGGCGCTCCGCGCGGATTTCTTGGACCTGCGCTGGGGCCCCCTAGGCGCCGCCCCTGGCGCGCTCCGCGCGCCAGGGAGGGGGGCCCAGCGCAGATCCGAGAAATCCGCGCGGAGCGCCAAAAATTTATGTTTATGGGTTGGTGCTCTTTTTCGACACAAGAGACCTTCCACCATAATCCCAGCCCTGAGACCCCAGGGCGTCCGCTGATTTCCGGTGTGGGAGCGCCACGCCATCCACGGCGAAGCCATCGAAACCCAGGGCACCCTGGAGGCGAGCGGGGTGCTTCTTGGCACGGGCCCCCGCTGCACCAGGAGCACGGCAAGATTCTAAGAGGAACCCGACTTGGCGCCGCGCGCGAGGGACTGGAGGGAGGGGGGAGGGCTTCTCAGAAGGAGGCTGCCTCCTAGAAGTCGCCCGCCTTGCATCTACAGATAAGGCCCGCACCTCCTAAGGAGCAGGGGTGCTGCTAAGAAGCCCTCCCCCTCCCCCCACCCCCCTCTGCGCGTGGCTGACCGACAGAGGACGCGCCACGGGACGAGCCAGGGGGCGTGCCCTGGGGTGCGCGCCACAGGACGGGCCAGGGGGCGAGCCCGGCGACGTGCCAGGTGAAGCGCCAGGGGCGTGCCAATAGGACGCGCAGTGGGATGAGCCAGGGGACTTTTTTCTTATTTTTCTAAAAAATGCAACCCAAAAAAATAACTGATGTTATCATGCTACCCTACTTTTTACCTGCCAAAAGAAAAGCAGGAACGTGCCAGCGAGGGCGGGCCAAGGGACGCGCAAAGGGCGGGCCAGCAGAGAGGACGCAGCAGGGACGCGCCGGGCATGGCGCCGGGGAGCCGGGACATGCCGGGAGGCGCGCGCCAAAGGGGACGCGCCAGGGATCGCGCCAGGGGGGCGCGTGCCAGGGGGGCGCGACCTACGCGACGTGCCAGAGGCACGTGTCGGGGCACGCGCCAAGGGAGGAGGAGGAGGAGGAGGAGGAGGAGGAGGAGGAGGAGGAGGAGGAGGAGGAGGAGGAGGAGGAGGAGCAGGAGCAGGAGGAGGAAGGAGCAGGAGGCGGAGAGAGGAGGGAGGAGGAGGCAGAGAGGCGGAGGAGAGGAGGAGGAGGAGGAGGCAGAGGAGGTGGAGGAGGAGGAGGAGGAGGAGGAGGAGGAGGAGGAGGAGGAGGAGAAGGACGAACGCCACAGGGTCACCTTAGATGAGGAGGGGGACACGCCAGGGGACCTGCCAGGGCCCGGGGGCCGCCGGCCAGGGGACGAGCCAGGGGACGGCCGGCGTCCGGGGGCCTCCTGGAGCGTCCGGAGGGCCGCCGCTGCGGGCTTCCTGGGGCGCCATGAGGCGTCCCTGCGCTTCCCAGGGCCAGACATCCCGTGGTTTGTCAAGGGCTGACTCTGCGCGTGGGGCACGCCATCCTCGAGCGGGCACGCACGGGATGCTGCTCCAGGCTCGCTGTGAAAGCTCGATGCGTCTGGCCTGTTTTCTCGGTCAGGGCTTCTGCGAACAAGCCTCCAGACCTTCATTTTTTAGCCGTGATACTAGAGGTCCCCAGATCCTTATCAAGGATCCGAAGTGGGGGAGACGGGGGCCAGGTACTTTCCTTGAGCGGGCACGTACAGGATGCGCCTTTTCAGCCAGCAGTGGGCCCGCATTCAGTGATTTGTTGAGGTATCTTCGGCCAGCCTTCTTCAGCGATGGCACCAGGGACACGCTTACCCACTGCAACAGAACCCTGGGCGGCACCCCCTTGCCAGCAATGAGTGCCCATACCAGAAACCCAGCACAGGAGGAGGAGTGACGAGAGCAGGCTGCAAGCGCTCGGTGCCACTCACGAGTTGTTCTTCCGATCGTTCATTGCGACCAGCATATTCTTGATCTGCTGCATGTCGCTGGACAGGCTACGAATCTCGGTCTGAACCTGATTGATGCTGCCCTCCACCGCATGCGTCCGGTACTCGATGTTCTGGAACTTCTCGAGCGAGGCGGTGCCGAAGGTCTCCATGACCTGGTCCAGCTTCTCGGCCATCACCTCGACCGGCACCACGGCCCGGTAGGAGGTCGCGGGCGGCTCCCGCGCCTTCGACCGGGGGGAGGGCGGCGGCGTCATGGCCTTCAAGGGGCTGAGGTAGTGCTTCAGCGACATCATCAGGGCGTTGTGCAGGACTGTCTTCCAGGTCATGGCCACGATGCCCTTGTAGAGGCCGCCGTAGCCCTCCTCGCCCACGATCTGCCGCAGCACCGAGGGCACCGAGAGCAGGCCCCCCCCGCGCACCTGTATCAGGACCTTGGCGCGGATGAACGGGTACGTGGCGACGGTGGCGAGGATCTTGGCGATCGCGGTGGTACCCGCCGGCACCCTGGGGTGCGAGGACGGCGCTCGCGCGCCGTGCTGCGTTGGGGCTCGCCTCGGGCCTCGCTCCAGCGCGGTGCGGTGCACCATTGTCTCGGCTCCGGGGCAAACCTGTGCAGCGTAGCATTCCCGGGTCGAGAATCGACGACGCCTCGGGAGACGCCAACGCTGCACGGAACACACAGGTCGTCAGCGCATTCGGGTCCAACAGGCTGCAAGGACTAGGCTGTCCTGTTCCCTGCCTGCACCAGCTTCAGCTGTCAACTTACAGCCAGACCTGGGACAGAAAAACATCCTTCAAGAGCATGAGACCCTCCACCTGCCAGAACGCACAGAACATCCAAGAGCACCCTCCCCAGGAAGCACAAAAACACCCAACAAACACGAAGAACATCAGGGCACTCTCCCCGAACCGACCTCGATCTTATACCTCGGTCCGACTGCATTGCAAAAGACGTAAATGTTTTGGCTCCACCGTTGTAAGCTCTGGAAGCCTGCGCGAGGAGGGGAGCCCACCGAAAAGGAACCGGCTCCCACCCCAAAATCGCGTGTTCTGCATTCCCGAGGGAGCGCCCTGGGACACAAAAAGTTCCAGCAGACTCGCGTTCCCAAGGGCAGAATTCCTTTCGATTGACAACGCACGCGCACCCCCGAGACCACAATCCCTTTTTTCAAAGAACACCGGGTTCGCGCTCCCTGAAGTGCAGTCCCCCGCAAATTACACATCAGAACCGCGCTCCCGAAGCCACACTCCTTCGTAGATTGCCTAACGCTTGCGCCTCCGACGCAACAATCCCTCGTACGTTACTGCGCGCTTGCGCTCCCAAGCCCACAATCCTTCGCATAGTACACAGGGCTCGCGGCCCCCAGCCCACAAGCCCTTGTAAAGTATATCCCAGGCTCGCGCTCCCGAAGCCACAATCCATCGTAGATAATATAGTCGTAGATTTACGTGTGTGTTTATTTGTGTACGTAAGTATACATATCTATATATACACACACACATGTGGGGCCCCAAGGCCACGATGTCTTATAAGTTGCTACGCGCTGGCGCTCCCAAGGCCACAATCCCTGTTGAAGTACGCGGAGCTCGCGCTCCCCAAGGCACTACCCCGTGTAAGTTGCACAAGATTCGCGCTCCCGAGGCTACGAACCCACTCCACGGAGGCGCCCTGCTCCCTATCTTGAGCAGTAAGCTAACATGTTCTGCATTGTCATTGCACCGGCCTTGCAGACGCGCTGCAGCGGATTTCTGCGTGGATGTTTGCCCGAAGCGGCGAGCGAAAAACGAAGTGAATTTCGCGTGGATTATTTTTGGTCTTCAGTCCTGGCCAAAAAACTATCCGCACGGAATTCACCTCGGAATCCGGAACGAAACTCTCCAGGACATCCCGGGCCCACCCGATCGTTTTCCGAACGAAATCCGCTCTGCGATGTTGGCGCCATGAGTATCGGGGTGTGTTCGGGATGCGCTTTTCAGCCCCCCCCGTCGTCTCCTCGCAGATAGCCAGGGGCACCAGAGCCCCAAGCCTCGAACCCTGGTGAATTCCATTGAAAGCGTGCTGCCGAGGCCCCAGATCATTCCAGCAACAAGCCAATCAGCCGAGAAGCCAGCCAGCCAGCCGACAAGAAGACAAACTAAACTGCCAACCTAGCGCGGCCATACGAAACAATATGAAGGGGGTCTGGCGACACAGGGCGAAGCCCTTCAGATAAAACAGTACCAAGGGCCCGTGCTGGCGGGCGCTGGGGCCGTCCTCACCCATCCGCATGCGGAGGAATGTGATGATTTTTTTTTGCTCCTCGATCAGCACGAACATGATGGCCGGGTTGATGGCCAATGCGCAAGAGATAGGCAGGCCACGGTAGAGCTCCCCGAGCCCGCCCTGGCTGTAAAGCATGGCGGCACACCCGAAAAGGCCCAAGTTGCCCGGGGTAGTCTGGTTCAGCGTGGAAAGCACCTCCAGGGGCGTGGTGCAAAGCCAGTTCAATACCTTGCAAATGAAATTCTTCCACAGCATGCTGGAGGGGCCCTCCTTGCGCAGGACCGCGTTCCGCACGATCAGCGTGTGCCATATCCAGAAGTTGGCGCTGTGAAAGGACTCCTTGAAGAGCGCCCCCGGCAGGCCTTTGTAGAAGCCGAGTATGCCCTCCCCCCGGAAGACTTTGAGGGCAACGGCGATGAAACTCCCAGACTGCCCAGCGGCCGACGTCTGGCTGCGGACCTTGATCGTGTCCAGCGGGAAGAGCACCTGCTCGGCGAAGAGGGACCCGCAGATGCCGCTCACGATGTGGCTGAGCACCGAGGGCGGCTTCTTGCCCTGCGAAGGGATCGGTGTTACCTGACCCTCGTTCCTCCTCTGCTCCTCGCCCGCCTCCTGGCGGCCCGAGGCCATGTCAAAGGGGGCCGCACTGGCGCGCCGCGCGCGCGGGGGGCCCGAGGAAGTGGCGCGGCCAGCCCCGCCAAATTACCCCGCGCCTCGAGCCGGCAAGGCTGCGGGCCCGTGCGGAGGAGCACGACGAGAAGAGCGCGAAGGAGCAGCAGGAAGGATGCCCCGTGCCTACAGAGGCCGAGGAGACAAGCGGCGAGGACTTCGACGCTGGTACACGACGCATTCCCCATGCCACGCATGCTCCTGGGAGCGGCTCCTCTGGAAAGCTAAAAATGCACGTACGTGGGCTCCCCTTTTTTCCACTCCCGAAATACGCGGCTAACCCGACAGTGGCGTGGGCAAGCTGCTGAAACGAAGCCAACGAGCAGGGGGCTGGACGCGAGGCAGCCCAGCCCAGCCCGACACTACGACAACGCACTCGGACGTGCGGGAAGAACTTAAATTGAACCAGCCGGCTAGAATCGCATCGCAACCCCCCCCAGACGAAGCCAGGACGCGGACAGACTCGGGCGAGGATGAATCGAGAATCTCTGCATTCCCGCTGCTCTGACGCATGTCTCGAGCGCTGCGGCCTTATCTGGGCGCTGCGCCCGAGGAGGAGGAAAGGAAAGGAAGAGGAGGAGAGTCCATCGGGCGCCGCGGCCTCATCAGGAGGAGGAGTAGGAGGAGGAGGAGGAGGAGGAGGAGGAGGAGGAGGAGGAGGAGGAGGAGGAGGAAGAGGAGGAGGAGGAGGAAGAGGAAGAGGAAGAGGAAGAGGAAGAGGAAGCTGCGTGCCCGAAGGGTACGAGCGGCAGCCAGCACCGTGCCCCGTCCTCAGGAGGTCGCCCGCGCATGTGTACCAGAGCACGGGCTTCCACGTCCCATTGCCACTCACCTCTTGCATCCCCGGTATGCTGCATCCCCTGTTCTCACATCTCTCCGGTGTCAGAGTACCGCTGCCTTCACGTTGCCACGCAGCACCGCCGCGGCCACGACGACTTCCGCCCGGGAGCCAGCGCGGCACCGACGTGAATGTCGAGCAGGAGCAGCAGGACGCACGCTGCTCAGAGTCGCATCCGCGTGAGAGCTGCTTCTTTGAGCGCGTCACGGCGCACGACGGCCACCGCGACATCAGGCGCTCGAGAGCACCGCACCGCCGTGGAGACGAGCCTCGCGCCGCACTCCCGGGAGGGGACCACCGACACGCCCTGGCCGAACCCGCGGTCGGCCCGGGCCTCGCGCGGTGGAGGGAAGACACCACGGGCAGCGTAGTGGGCGGCCAAACACCCCGACACCTACAGCGAGGGCCTTTTTTATCTGTGTGGGCGCCGAGCGGGCTCGGCGGATTCTTGCATAAATTCAAGGCGGAGAGGCGGAGGGCCGCGCGGGCGCTTACAGCCGCCTGCCGAGGCCGCCTCAGCCCGCGGCGCGCGTCCCCGCGCGGCCTGCGCGGGCGGCTGCTGCCGTCGCTGCTCGCCCGCGCTCGCGGGCCGCCGCTGCGTCCGCGAAGCCGTGGGCTCCACGTGCACCCTCGAGCCCTGGGCGGGGCCGCCGCGGCTCGGCGGCCTCCCCCCGCGGGGCCGCCGCGGCCAGCCGCCGCGTAGCCGCGGCGCTCGGCGGCGCAGCCGCCTGGCTCCCAGCGCCAGCCGCAGGCGGTGGGGGCTGGGCGGCTGCTGGCAGCCGCTGCGCTGGCACGGGCGTTGCCACGAGCGCCTGCCCCTCCGCGCCGTGGCCCTTCCTGGCCTGGAGCGCCGCCGCCCAGCGCCGGCGCGTGCACTCCGTTGGCGAGGCCAGCGGCGCGATCGGCTCCTTCGACGCTGGCAGGATGCCGCGAGCGAAGTCCGACCGCGCCTGGGCTCTGGATCCCTTCTTGCACTTGGGCTGCCCAGCCGCCGCGCTGGCCCCGCACTGCTTGCCCAGGCCGCGGTGCGCGTACCTGGGGAGGCGGCAGTACATCCAGCAAGCCGCGCAGACCAAGAAGGGCTCGGAGTCGTCTCCTTCGACTCTCGACTCCATGAGGAGGTGGCCGTTGACCCTCCATCCCGCTGGACGGGCTGCATCAGCCGCCTCCGCAGTGGCTGGTCCGCTGCTCGCCGCCTCCGCCGCCGCCAGGCGCGGGCAGGGCGCGGGGGCTGAGGCCTCGCGGCGCCTCGGCTGCACCTGCGCCCTGCGCTGGGCGACCCGTCGCAGGGCATCCGCGGGCGACTCGGCCGAGGCGGGGCGGCGCCTCATGGGCGAAGGGCGCGAGCTGGAGGCGCCAGCAGCCGCCACCGCTGCCAGGGCCGCCGCCGTGGCGAGGAGGGGGCCCCCATCAGCCGCCGAGGCCTGCGCCTCGGCGTAGCCACCGCAAAGCTCCGCGTCGATCTCCTTCACGTTGCCATCGCCATACAGCGCGACGTGCTCCGCGTCGCGTGGCGCCTGGCGAACCTGCCGCGGGCGGCGCACCAAGGGGGCAGCTGGGGGCGGCAGGCTGCTGTCTGCAGGCCGCGGCGGCTGCCCAGGGCCTCCGCCAGCGGCGTGCCCGACAGCGGCGGCTGCCTCGCGGCCCTCGGGGAGCTCGATGGGCTCCGAGATGCCGCTGCCGCGCACCAGCGCCGCGCCGTCAGGAGCAGCCAACAGCGCGTCCAGCTCCGCGATGCCAGCCGCGCGCACCTCCACGTCGTGCTTCTTCCCGAACTGGCCGCGCCCCTGGGACTGCGACTTCGGTGGGCTGAATCCACCTGTCCCAGGGCGGGCTCCGCCGCGGCGGCGAACAGGGGGTCGGCCTCGCCGTCGAGCTCCGCCGCAAAGTAGGGGGTGAGGTCCCGCAAGCCCGACTCCGTGTCCTGGACCTCGAACTCGGCGGCGAAGCGCGCCGCGAAGCGGGTGCGGGCCTGGCAGCCCTGGAGCAGGCGGGCCTCCTCGTCGGCGATGGCGTGCATCGCCGCGCCCGCCTTCGCGAGCTGGCCCACGAGGCGGTTGCCGAAGAGCTCCACCTCCATGAGGTCGCCCCGCTCGATGGCCGCCCGCGAACGGGAGGGGATGGGCTTCAGGGCAGACGGCGCCGCACCCCTCGCCTGCACCACCCACTCGCCAACGGTCGTGAGAGCCGCCACCGACCAGACCGCGCTCCTGATCATCAGGTCGTTGTTGACGCAGGAGCCGTCCGTGAAGACGAGGGTGCCCGCGGGCACCACGAGTGCGCCCGCGTCCCAGCCGCGCGAGCGGCGCGCCCCGCCAGGGTCACAGCGCGGCCTCTGCACCTGGTACTGGGCGCCGACGAAGAGGTCCTGGCAGAAGAGCTCCTCGTAGCGGTGGCCCATCAAGCTCACCAACTCGGCAGTTCGCTTGAAACGGTCGTGGTCGGTCCGCGCGTAGAACTTGCCGTCGAGATAGACTGAGGCTGCCCCAAAGCCAAGCTGGCGGGCGAGCGCGAGCCCCAGGTTGTGTGGGTAGACCGCCATGTCACAGCTGTTCGCATCCTTGCCCCAGACCAAAGTGGGCTGGTGGTCCTTCTCCCACTTGACACCGTAGCGGCGGCGCACCCTGCACCAGATGCGCAACCACTTGCCCATGAGGCCGATCGGGCGGCGGCCTCCGTCTGGCTTCCCCAGGAATTGAACACCGTGGCGAAGAGGGCCGTGGGCTGCGGCTGCAACACCCAAGCCGTGAGCACCTCTGCCAGCATATCGGCGAAGGGCCTGCCCTGGGAGAGGACCGGCCGCGGGTGGAACGCATCCCAGCCCAGAGCGGTCTGCTTCGGGAGCGACTTCGCCGCCTCGAGGCTGTCGCCCACCGAGAACGGGGGCAGCACCATGGAGCAGATCCAATCGGCTGGTCTGGTCCTGTGCTCCCTATCGGCTCCTTTCCAGAGGGCCTTCCACTCTATGCGGATCTGGTTCTGGGCTTGCTGGACTACAACGGGGAGCGTCAGCCAGTCAGGGCAGTGCGCGATCACCGAGTCCAGCACCTGATCGCGGTCCTGTATGACATCGTGGGCTCCTTTCGCCCCTTTCGTCGAGGCCACGTCCACGTAGTCCATCCAGCGCAGCCTGGCCGCCTTGGCTTCTTCTTTGCAGAGTCTCGCCGCCGCGCTCTCGATCATCTGCAGGAAGGCCTGCCCTTGCACAGAGGGCTCTTGGATCACCACAGTCAGCGAGTCCAGCTTAGTGCCTTCAAACATGGAGCAGCCCGCCTGCTCGAACTTGGGCCCCAAGCTCTTGGCCACCTGCACCAGGTGCTTCATGTAGCCCCCGTGCCCCTCAGGGGGTGAGCTGACGGCAGCAGCCGCACTGAGCTGCCTGGCGATCCTCCCGAGGCAGCGCCAGCACTTGGTGAGGGGGCTAAGCTTCCTGACAGCCTCCGTGCGCTGCAGCTTGGCCAGCTGGAGGGGCTTGGCCTGCGGTCGCCCTGGCTGGGGCTGGGCTGCAGGCTTCGCGGCTGCCGCGGCGCCCGCGCGGCCGCCAGGCGGGCGGCTGCCCGCCGCCTTGGGGCCCCGAACCTCAGGGGGTCTCACGCCCTCGCCCTTAGCCTCGCCAACTTGAATTGGGTACCCACTATTCCGTATGGGCCCCTGGCTGGGCTGAGGACTGCCAGTCCTTCGGTCGGGCCCATCCAATTCCGCCGCAGCGCTTGGCTCTGTCCTGCTACTGAGCGCCTTGAACTTGGAACCATGGCGCGCATCGTCGGAGCGTCGGTCCTGGCGCAGCAGCGGCCCAGTGAAGGGAAGCCCTTCCCCAGCGTCGGCCTCGACGTTGGCCGCCAGGTAGGCGTGCATGCCGCCGCTCGGCGCCGCCTTCGCCGCGGGGCGGCTGGGCGCCGCCGCCTCTGCCTCCTCAGCCCCGTCTGGGACGGGCGGCGCCGCGCTTACGGGGCCGCCGCCTGTCAGCAGGGTGCTACCCGCGGGCCTGGTCGCTGCCAGCAGCAGCGCCAGCAGCAGGTGGAGGGGCCGCCGCAGCAGCCTTTTGGTCGGCAGCGCGCTGTCGGGCCGCCGCGTCTGCCGCTCGGCTCTCCACGGCGGCCGCTGGGGGGGACCCTGCACCAGG